CCCCAAAACCCCAAAACCCCAAAACCCCAAAACCCCTTTATGGTTATAAGAGGTTGAAGTTATAAATTATCATCATGAATCACTAATTATTTCCAACTATGAATTATTCAAAACTAGCTAGTCATGCCTTCTAGTCATTGCCTTGTTCTCAACAAACCCGGGAAGATCTCCGTACTTTTTCTTAAGGATTCTGGTTCTGATCTTTGAGGTACCTGGCACATGGGGCTTGAGGGTTCTTGGATAAACATTTCCATTTCTCATAGTTTTATACATTAGGTCCCTATTTTTCTTGCTCTTCGTATGCCTTGAATATGAAGAAAACCCTGTTGACGATGCAAAGTCGCTTTTTACTAATAAAAATTATCAGACAAACTACCTCTGTTCCTAGATTTTTCTGGCTTTGAATAATGGATATTAGGATTACTTCTAGTGTTCCAGAAGGATTGCTGAGTTTTCTGGAGTCTTTTCGCTTCATGTGGATCAAAAGTTACTGTTTTCTTACTTTTTCTAAACTCAGATGCTATATTTCGGCTCTTAAATGGGTTATAATATTGGCTAAATAATAAAAATGAGCCGTTACTCCTCGATTAGTACATCTTCTCCTGCTCCGTTACTAATGATCTCAGTGTATGGGTTATGATGTTTGGAGATATGTAAGATCTCCTCAAAATCAGCGTCTCAGAAACTTCTCATATCTTTATTTTTGGCCTGGAAATATCCTCTAATAATAGACTTAACTTGTTTATCACATTCTTCAGAGTTGCAGCTGTCGTCTGACATTTCAATTTCTTTATAACTAGTGATAGGCTCAGAAGGCCAGAATTCTATTGATAAGTTAATTTGGTAGAAATTAGGCAAAATTTTAAATTCAGGATTTTATTGAACAATTTTGACCTACTTTTGGACATTTTCCTTCAAATTTTAGAAGACTTCTTCTGTGAGCGAGCAGTTCTAGGGGAGGCTAGCATGTTAATCGAATTCTTATTGATTTCCTAGAAGTTCAATTGAGGTCTTACGAAGGGTGGCTCGTTTGGATCAACAAAGACTTGTAACTTTTGTTGAGTCTTTGGCAATGACATTCCTATATTTGGCAATGTGCCGTAAGAACTTATGCCAAATGTCTCAGGTTGATCATCAAGATCTCTAATTGTCTTCCAAACATCTCTGGCGGTGGTAACAGGGATGTCAGCTTTATCGGCTCTCTTCTTCATCTTGTCATCTTTATACTTGCTGTGTTTGTTTAAGTCTTGCCTATTGTGCTAAAATGAATTGATAGAAATATTACCCCTGATCTGTAAAAGCAGTACCAATGAAAAGGATGGAATTCAGACTCTTGAGATCTCAAGACTTTGAGTACTTTCTTTATATTAACCCCTTCAACAGTTGGAATCTTATACTTTGGTGGATTCAAAACTATCTCCTTGTCATCTCTGTCTAGTTCTTTTTGAAGAAATTTAATTCTTTGAGCTATATAGGAATATTTAGTAGCCAGGCAAGCAACCAGAAGTATGAGAAATCTCAATTTCAGCTTATTAATGATACACGTACAAGGTGAAAGAGTCTTTAGAGGTATTTCTTTCCTTTCCTAGACTTTCTTTTATACTCTTTGAATTCTTCTTTTGAGAGATCAATCTTTTCCTCTTTCTATTCATAAGTATTAAGATATGAAATTCTGATAAAATTATCTGTGATTCAGAAATCTTTAACATAAGAAAAATAAGGTTGTGAAAATAGTTTCATTACATTTTTATAAATGAGTAAGAGCTTTCAAAAGTCCATACAAACTTCCTCAGTCAAAATTTGAATTTAAACAAAAATTAGAAGCTCAAACAAAAACCAGAGACAACTCCAGCTTAAAATACACTCAACGCCACAAACCTATATCAAAACTACCCTCTTCTTACCTTCTTTGGGGAGAAAATGCCAATCATTTCCTTAAAATCTCTAAAAATATTATTTTATTCCAAATTATTTAATTATTACGGGGTTTTGGGGTTTTGGGGTTTTGGGGTTTTGGGG